AGCCTCTCCCGGGACACCCGGGCTGGGGGTAGCGGGAGGCAGTGCGCCCCAGAGCCTCCCCAGGCTCCCACGCTGCCCGGCCGTGAGGTTCGGGGTTCGGTCCGGTCGCAGCCTCAATCCCTGGCTCCTCCGCGCTGTCTGTCCCTCCGACCGCCAAAGGAGCCCGGGAGGCCATAGCCTCGCTCCAGAAGCTTGACGTGAGTTAAAGCCGGGCGCTCCTGGGCCTAGGGCAGCGTCAGGCTGGGCCCTGCTGCCGGGACGGAAGGGCAGTGCCAGGTCGGCTCCTCTCGCATCGGGTCCTCGATGGACGCCCCCTCCCGAGCCCAGGCGGCCCGGCGTCGCCGTGGCAACGGGCTCTTCCCGAGGGAACGGGGAGCAGAACTCTTTCTGCAGTTCCTTAAGCGTCAGACGTTTTGCAAGTCAGGAAAGTACAAGAAAGAAGAAAGTAAAATAAACCACCATTCCCAATCATTCCACCCAAAGGTAATCATTGTTGACATTTTGTGATCATTCCAGGTTCTTTCTGTGAACGTGGATACAGGTGTATCTATGAAAACAGACAACACTACGCGTATTTTGACACTTGTATTTTCATTGAACTTGTCACAGAAATGGAAAACGCAGAAAAATTGATATTATTTCTAACGGCAACATAACACGAACCACAATCTACTAACCAACTGCTGTTGCTGCAAAGTTTCTTTCCAAATTTTATGCACACATACACTCTTATGCATACATTTTTGCACACAAAGTCTATTTTCTTAAGGTAGACTTCTAGAATTAGAACTACTGGATCGAAGGTTACTGGCATTTAACATTTGTATGCGTATATCTATATTCTGGGTTGTTGCATTTTTTAGGAGCAAGTGGGCTTTATTTTCTTTTCCATATTTGGAGTAGCAAGGAAAGGCTTGTTTTATATCTGTCTGTCTGTGTGTCTATGTCTCTGTCTTTCTATTTATCGTATATTTTGATTCCCCCCCAACCAAAATCTGAAACAAGAATTTGGGTGTAAGTAGTAGTTTTCAGAGTTCTCTGGAAAGTATTTTGAGTAGTGATGAATGAACCTTGTGTTCATGAGTGGATACTGTTGGGGAGAAATGGGTCAGAATGTGGCTGGTAACTCCGAGAGACCACGTGGACACCCGTTAACTTTGTCTTTAACAGTGTCTGCCATTGCTATCTGCAGATCATTAACTCTCCTGGCCCTCTGACTTGGTGTTACTTGGAAAACGTCCACAGGTTTTCTGAAGCAGGCCAGCGGGATATGGTTGGAGCACCTACAGCCTCGGCTACAAATGAATTATGACTCCTTCCAAACCCACGCCAAGGAGTGAGGTTAATCCAGGACAAAATTGCATAATGGGGATAAGATTTTCATGTGTCCCTTTGCCTTTCCTCCCTGGTCCCTAAATCATCTTTTGGTGGCAACTTTTGCTGCCCAAGATTTAACTCTTCAAAGCATAGCAGAGATGTAGCTGATCTTCTGAACAATTTGAGTGCTAGAAATGAAATCTCCAGGCACCTTAATATTTTAAGACAGGAACTAGAGGGGAGAGCAATTCTAACTGCAGAATTGATGATAACTCCAGCAATTTAGGCACTGTGGCAGCTACATGCTTTTTTGGTGGGGAGAACCTAAGTTTGAGGTTGGTCCACCAGAGGAATTCTGTTGATCTTTTTGTTACCAATTACCCCCCACCCCAGTTCTTTTTCCCTCTTGGAAATATGGGATAACAAGCTCCAATGCAGATTGAACTGCAAGAAGAAAAGAATAAAACAGGAAAATAAACTGATAAATGAACTTCTTGACCTGTTGAGGGTTGGGAGGTTCTAGGATAAAGAAAAAGGGGAGGAATAAACTGAAAAGGGGAGGAATATTCATGTCTCTTCTGGGAAAGGGTGACATTTTCCCCGAATTCAAGTGTCACCCCTTTTCAGTTCTTTTATTGTTCTTTCTGGTTGTCATCATGGCAACTGTCAATCATCATGATGATGGGGTGTGTCATTTAGATGTAGATGGAATTATGATGAAGTTCGAGGTTGGCTGACAGTCACTCTGGTGCTGGTTCAGCTCGCCACCTCCGGCCTGCAGTTGTCCTGTTTTCAAAGACAAGATAGGGTGAGATAGATATTCAGCAGATCAGGTAGACAGTGCAAGACTTGGGCGGGTTAACAGTTTCTGACCAGCAGCAGGAGGGAGATGGCCAGATGAAGGCAAGTGAACAGGGAGGGAAGAGGCAGTGTGTTGGTTCCTCCCCAGGGTGACATTCACTGGACCTTGTGGTTTAGAGAGTGAGGCAGGAGAGAGCAAGGCTGAATTTGTTGCTGGAGGGAATGTGAAAGAAGTGAGTGCTAAGGCAAGACAGGAATGAAATGGGTGATTCAAAGGAGTCAAATGAGAACAGAATGAAGCAGGGTGTTGCTTGGTTCCAAGGTACGAGATGTGCTTTACTGAGGGACCCAGCCATAGTTCACATGTTTCTTTCCTCTCTGACCGTTCCTTCGTAGTGCCCATCAGGAGTCTACTTTGATCCATGGAATCCTGATGCTGCACGGAGCTCTGTCTCGTGCCTCTTCTCCAGCTGTAATCCTCTGAGCAGCAGTGCGTCCCCACAGCTGCTGCACGGCCTGCTGGCCCAGCTGTCCCTCGGGAGCTCAGGTCCCACCTGATCCAGCTGTTGGCAGAAGTTGTATCTGCAGGAGGGGTCTTGCGGGAGACACTCCCTACAGCTGTGGTTCTCTGGTTTTCTGCGTAGAGGAATGCAGGTTCCCCAGTTAAATTGTGGGCTGCTTGAGAATGAGCGCTTTCTTGACTTTTACTTTCCTGATTTGCCATGTGCAATAACTATCAGACTGGTTGCACTGACCATGTAATTTCCCCACCAGCATCATTTAGGAGCTAGAGGATGCTCTTCCTTCCACACAGCCATCTTTATTTTTAAGGGCACAGCCCTTTCAGCCATGCACAGTTGCTGGTCACCAGGTCCTCACCAGCGCCACAGCCTTGTCAGTTCTTCCCTTTACTGTCTTAGCAGAGGCCAGCTAAGGTCCCGTTCCACCATCTTAAAGCTTTATCTTCTCTTGGCCTCCATAATGAATGCTCTCTGATCATTTTTCTGTCCAACTAGCTGTTTATTTTGTCTCCTACACATAGTTCTCCCCCAAAATTCCATCCTACAGAGCAGCATGAGGTAGTGGAAAGAATGCAGGTTTTGGAGCCAGAGGGGCTGTGTTTGATTCTGAGCTGCATCATTTATTAGCTGGGTGACCTCTCCAAGCCTCAATTTTCTCCACTGTAAAATACAGATAATTATGAGGTTGGAAGAAATTGTAGGTAAAGGGCCTGATACAAAGCATTTCCTAAATGCATGGCAGTTATAGGTGTTCTTGTGTGACTCTGGCAAATGTTACACAAACCCCCATTACCTTCTGTCACCCCAGAGTGGAGCAGTGCCAGCTCTGCTTCTCCATCCCTGGCTGCTCTCCTTCATCTGGTCCTTGTCTCCACATATCTGCTAAGCGTTTCCACTTCTGATGTCCTGCCACTGACTCCAGTAATGGCCTGTACAAACCCACATTGTCATCCTTCTGTTTCCCAGCCATCTCCTGCCAGCATTTCCACCTGCTATTTCCCAGATGCTCCAGCTTGAAAAGCTTGAAAGGGTCTTGAATCCAACCATTTCCTTGGCATTTGGAAGTAATGATGGTTATTGGTAGAATGCTTCCATATGCATTTCCCACTTACTCAGTGGTGCTTTGAAGGAGGCTATCATGCAAAGAAGGCCTGGAGGGACAAAATAAAGGCCCAAGAAGAGTTGAACACAATTAACATTCTAATCCCAGGGTTGTCCTGTTTCTTGAAGGCCTCCTCCATGGAATGATAGGTACCAAATCACACTAATTCAAGATGGTGAAGCCTCTCCACCTTGAAAGCAAGTTGGCAAACCTTTTCCAGCATGTCCCTACATCCTCTAGTCTTCTCTCATCTCCCCTTCACTGGTACACTGCTCGTAAAACTTGTAGAAACCTGCCATCTTCACCTCTGTCCTCCTTTTTGGTTCCTCAAGCACTACAATGTCCTTTTCACCCCACCACTGGACTGGCCTTTGCCCTGGTCATCAGATCACAAGGATATTTTGTAGTTTTTGTCATATTTGAGCCCTGTTTGGCCCCATTGACAACTGTGCTGCAGTACTATTTGCTCCAGAAATACTCTTGCATACAGACCCAGAATAACATTTAAGTATCTGGACATTCTGTGTCCCAATGAAATTGACACACAAAGTCAACCATCACAGTCACCCTACTGGTAAGTGCTGGATGGAATCAGAATCTCCAGGATATGAAGATCTTAAGCTAAGGAGAATGTGTCGGGGAGGGGTGCTATTTAAGAATCACCAACATATTGGTGGTAACTGAAGCCATAGGAGTAATTGAGATAATCATAGAGAATATGTCCTATGAGAAAAAACAATGCCATGGTGCCACGATCCACACAGTGTAGGGTCTGAAGCCAGGGAGAGTTGGGGGAGATGATGAAAAGACAAAGAACACCAAGATTACTCTTATCTGGGACCAGGTGGAACCATAGCTTGTCGGGAGCTAGTGGCTGCCTGGACCATTGTGTACTCTTTATTTATAGTGGAAGGCAAACAGGAAGAGAAGATGAGGCAAATAGTGCTACGTGGCCTGTGTGGCCTAGGCAGAACATAGTGTGATTGTTTTGTGATTGGGGCATGTGCAGGAAGGGAACAGGGAAAGAATCAAGGTAACTGTCTCCCAAGGCTGTGCCATCCAGGGTCTATAATATGAATCAAACAGACACAGTCTCTAATCTGTGCATGTCTGGGGGACACCTGAAAAATTGCTGTAAAGCATTGGCCTCTGTTCCACATAACTCCAGATGTAGATGGGAAAATCAGTAGACCCTACTGG